AAAATTTTTTTTTGGAAAAAATTATTTCGGAAAAAATGTTATTAAAATTTTGTTTAGAAAATTTTATTTTTTTTTTCGCCTAAAAATATGCACCTAAAAGTATGCAAGGCTTATATATGCATTATATGCTGCCGAAAGTTGCATTTGAACTGCCTCAATTCCCCCACCTTCGTTTACTGCACAGTGGCTACCGAAATTATGTAGCGTAAAGTTTAATTGCCCGCAACCAACAATGCGCACCTAAAACAAGAACAAGAGAAAACAAACGTAAAAACTTAAACACAACACAATGCATTTAAATAACAACAACAACAACAGCGCTAGCAGTAAAACATTGCCAAAAATACATTCTCGCTTTTAACGGTATAACAAGCGTGCCGATTTGTTGCAAATCTGTGCGCTGAGTTGCGGTAAATCACGGAATTTAAGTGCAACGAGTTTTATTTCAGTTTTCGGGTGCGCCTAAATGTAGGCAACAAGGCAGCGAAATTAATTGTTTTTACAACTACAATGTGGCAGTCACGCTGGTGGAGGGGGGAGCGAAATATTACCGTTTTACTGTAAAATCACAATAAAAGTTTCGCCGCCGTTCAACCAAGCGAGGCTGTTACTTAACACTATTCGGTCGACATAATAATACGTAGAAATGGGTAACTTCTATATTTCGCTCTTAATACGCGTTTACAATTGACGAGTGTCCTTTCATCAATACTTTTCCATGGATTCTCCCTTTTTATGGGCAACTTTTTTGCAAACAAATTTGCCTTACATTCCTTTAAGCTCTCCTACTACTTTTATTCTTGATTTTACCTGAAACCAAAACGGAAAAAGACGAAGCAGTTGTAGAGTATATCCTTGAGGGCTGAGTTTTTGAAAGGATTAGTACCGCTTTGAGCTTCCATGGACGCAGGTATAACTGTTAGATCTTAAAACGTTCTTTTGGGTTAGATTCCAACGATCTCATGCCGCTCAAAGGACCAAGAGCTCAAGTATCATCGCATAAAAAGGGTTGTCATCCATTTCCCGTCAATAAAGGCGTAGAAGATTTCAATGACTCATTTCTCAATCTTTTCCATAGCATGGAAGAATGTTTTATTACCCAACTTGTTTGCAACTACCCTGAGATTATAGTTCCAGTCCTAGCTTGTCGATACGGTGTGATGGTTGCAGTTTGTTGCTGCAGTCTCTGGTCGGTTTGGTCTCTGGCGTGGGACAGTAGTAGCTTTTCATCATCCCTAGAAAAACTGTGGTAGCAAGGCCTGAATTTTCCAAAACAAAATATTCCTTTGGTATGGTTTCAATGTTTTTTTCTGAAAGTCCGAGGTTTTTGCTACGAACGCTCTCTGACGATATTTAAATAAAATTTGTGAAGGCACTACAAGAAGCAGGCTTTGTTATGGGACCGAGTGTGTTAAAATTTCTTATGAGAATTAGAAAATACCTTTCGGAACTGAATTGCGGTTCGCAGACCCTGACGATTTGTAGTTGGAGCCGTGGACTATGGGGCAGGGAACGTGACCCTGTAAAACTTTGTTCTCGCTTGTTGAACAGTTACAACACTGCTCGTGGTCGCCAATAGCTTCACTCTCTTTCTTGAACCAAGTGAGACAATAACTTACCAATTATTTATTTGTTCTTACTTTTTCACAGTTCAAATAGGAGCTCAGTAGCTCAGTGGCGACAGTTAACTTCTCGGTTGGTCGTAAAACAAAGCACTTTGAGTTTTTCTTTGTATTTCAGTGCAAACACAAAATTCCAAGCAACGAACATGTGGCATTATCTGCGACTTTACTCCTTACGAGCCAAAACTCGACTCCCCTCACTCCACACACCCAGTTGAGCAAACACGAAAACTTTTCACACTTCCACTTTTTCTTGCAGCGCGTGTCTGGGCTCTGCACTACAAACGCGTGTCTTCCTTCCATTTGTTTGGCCGACAGCAGCTTGTGCTTGTGCTCCGTTGGGCATACAACTTTTCCGAATTGTACTGCAACAGCAGCTGAGCCAGACGACTTCTCATTTTCACATATAGACGTGGCCGAGCCGAGTACGGACTGTCGACGGCGGTGCTTGCGTTGATGGTGTTGACGCCGTCGATGCTGGTCCCAGCACATCAACACTACAAGTGACAACAATGTTCAGTGTTCCTTTTTACTTACATTCTTCTTCCTTGCCTTTCTCGCTTCTTCGTCAGGAACTTCAATAAAAACTGTGTATTAGCGTCCAAATGGTCTCATCACTTCCGGTCACGTTTATCGGTTGCATACATTGAAGGCCAACAGGGACGTGTGCTCACTCACTGCAGCTCGACTAGCGCACGTGTGTCTGTTACGGAGCAGGGTGAAGGGTATTTAGCTGGCAAACAAAATGCCATCAAAATGAAGCAGACTTTTTTGGTTATTCTGATCTGCGCTCTCCGAGCCTTGCAAGATTTAAACTGAGTGAGCTGAGATTCGGGTTAAAGGAAGCTCGGAAGTTTCAATAGGAATCCTTCACTATGAAGATCTTCAGGGACACGATGTGCTGTCGAGAATCTATGGCTATATTGGCCACCCTTACCATGCGTCTTCTTAATAACCAATCGCAGGATCGCTGGTCGGAAGCGATAGGGTCGAAAATATCTTCATAAAACTTTGAAAGCATAACCACCCCAAGTTTCTTTCACAAACTTTCTCTTGATTCAAATGGATTATGGAAGAGAGGCTCAGGTTCTCGGTCAGATTTTGAACCTGTGTAGTTCCTGCGCTCGCCTTCCTAAAAAAAAAAATCGTAAAATACATATTGCGCATTTTAAGAACGCCGCACTTAATTTCTCTTTCCCATTTCTCATAAAGTTTCTTTATTTGGCTTCCTTACTAATTTTGAGTTTTTACTCTAACATTTTCATGAGCCCATAAATCAATTTGGAAACATTTTATGCACTTGTAGTGTTAATGAAGTAGTTTTTAGCCAAATTAGTCAACACATTCGCTTCCTTTTGACTGCACTCGTCCTCCTTCTTTTTCTTCTTATTCTTCTCTGGTTTTATGTTCTACTTTTGTTCTTCTACTGTTGTAGTTTGCTCTGTAGCTGACTACCCGTTCTCATTTCCTGCACTTTAGTATTTACTTCAAATTTTTGCTTCCCATCTAACGGTGTAAATTTCTGTCTTGGGTGCCAAATGCCAAATGCCGTGTAGCACAACAACTTTGCTTTTGACTTATTGCCTTTTTGTCTCACTTTTAATTGCATTCTTAAGACAGCATAAGAAATGGCCTGAGTTTTGGGCAAAAAAAAACGTGGAAAAGAATATAAGGAAAGGCTTAAAGAAATTTAAACCAAAAATTTAACAAATTGAAATAAATAAAAAAATAATAATCAAATGAAATTAGGCAAGAAAAGAAATTAAGAAAAATTAAATAATTAATAAAAAAAAATAAATAAAATTAAAAAAATATATAAAAGTATATATATATATATATTAAAAACATTTTAGTTTAAAAACATCTGGAAAAAAACAACAAGTTCATGCGACCATCTCATATGAGTAATAAAAAAGCATAAGTGCACTTTGCGTTTTTGCTTGCATATACATATATATGTGTTTATATCGTTATTACGAGCTAAAATAAGTTTTATTACTTTAGTTTTGTTGCCAAATTCTAAATTAATGTTTCTTGTTGTTATTGCTTCTTGCCGTAATTTGTATTTAATGAGCCATGAAAAACAGCCAGCAGCAACCGAAGCAGCGAAGAGTCACCAGTTGAAATAAAGAGTCGTTAAATTGTTTTATACTCGTAAAACAACAGCAACAACAGTAAAGCAGTGCTGCTTCTGTTCGTCGACTAATGGCCTGTAAGAGATATCCGATTTTAAGTGGCAGCGGTGCATCAGCGCTAAGTGAATTCCAACAGTGGCATTTAAAGTGTGCCAGAGGGCGAAGAGGGTGATTAAAAACTTCCAATGAATTTATATGGTAGAATTACATAAAATAAAAATATAATAAAATACAAAAAAAAAATTAAAAATAAATAATATGGCACTAAATTAATATAATTAATTAAAATGAGTTAAGAAAATTAATATTTAATTAAATATAAATAAATAATAAATACATACAAAGAGAATTAATTTAAATAAAATAATATATAATGAATTAAAATAAAAATAAAACTTAATTAAAAAAATATTAATAATAATAATATTTAATTAAATATAAATAAAGAGAATAAAATTAATTTAAAAAAAATAATATATAATGAATTAAAATAAAATAAAATTTAATTAAAAATATATTAATAATAATAATATTTAATTAAATATAAATAAAGAGAATAAAATTAATTTAAAAAATAATATAAAATGAAATGAAATAAAATAATAAAAATATAAAAACATTAAATTAATTTGAATAAAGTAAAATAAAAATAATAATAATAATAATAATAAAGCGAAAAAAATGAAGTGAAATAGAATGAAATAAAATTAATTATAAAAGAAAAAAAAAAGAAATAAGAACAAAAAAAATAACAAAAAAATGTTTCATAATATAAAATTAAACTAAATTAAATAAAAAAAAAACAAGTAGAAATTAAGATAATAAAATTCAAAATACAAAAAATTAAATTATTAAGAGAAATAAAAAAAAATAAAATGAAATAAAAAAAATAATTGAGTTAAGAAGAGAAGAGCTAAAATATAAAATTAAAATATAATAAAATTAAATTAAATAAAGCGTATAAAATAACTTGAAACTAAAAGAAATTTAAATTAAGTGTAGTTAAATAAAATGATATAAACAATAACAACAATAACCATAATAAAACAGCATTGAATAAAATAAAATAAAAGATCAAATAACAAAATTGAATTAAAGTATATAAAAGTAATTAAAATAAAATTAATGAAAAATTAAAAGAAAAAATTTATTAAATTTTTGCATTGCATAAATTCAGTTCGAAGGCCCAGCGCACGTTCCAAGCCTTCATTGAAACCCAAGAACCGAAATAAAAAAATAGAACGATACAATTTTCTGAAACGTTAAATAATATTGTGAACTAAAAGAGACGAATATGATCTTAAAACAAAAATTTGTGAAATAATTTTTAAATACAATAAATTCAAACAAAAAATATTATATTTGGTTATATACAAAATTAAAAAAAAAAATTAAAAGAACTTAAATTTGTTTAACAATAAGTTAAATACTAACAGTTACAATGATACAATTTTGCTTTAACTTTTGGCTTGATTTCCATTTTAACAATTAATATACAATTCTTTTTTTTTTTGTTGAAAAAAGGTTTTTGTTTAATTATTTCTTAAATTAAATATAATTTTTTTATCTTATTTTTAACTATTGAATTTTCTTAGTAAGCGCAGAGTGACTCGAGGAGCAGGCGAGAAGTTCGCTGTGAGAAAAATAGAAACACGTCGGGCGTACGCGCTTTACTTTTAAGGCGTGGCATATTTTTGCTTTTCGCCACACACTCTCCCTCTCGCTGCCACTCGTTCCCTCTCGCTCTATCTCTAATTGTATTTAAACCTTTTTTAAATAAACAGAATAACAATATCAATACCAGATCCTTTTCACTTTCTTTCTTTTGCTTAGATTACTACTTGTTTTGGAAAACCCACTGCAGCAACTGAAAAAAGTTTGGATTTGAAAGTATTTATGTTTTTTTTTTATTTACGCTTGTTTTTTTGGATATTTTTTCGCTGTCTTGGCCGATTTGGTTGCATCACCGGGCCCGCCACATCTTCTTCCACCGCTTCCCTCGCCTTATCTTCACCTGCCGTTTCTTCACCCGCCGTGTCATCACTGCTTGTAGGCCGTATTTGGTAATTTTTCGTCTCGTCAATCTTATACATATCAGCAGGGGCGGCCATTATGTAATCGTATTGATTCTTTGGCGTAAATGGCGGTGGCTTAAACAATTTACGCACCTGAGCAATAGCAATATAGAAAGCCAGCAAAAGTGCTAATGTTACCAGTACGAAGTCTAGACCGATTCTTTGGAAATAATGCATATCGACAGCGGGTGAACGTAGGTGAACAGCGCCACGATAGCGTAACACATAGTTGGCCCAATAGAGCACGGTTTGACGTGGCGTCAGCGGCCGATCGCGATATTTTTCCGAAAGAGTTGCGGCCACTTGCTTAAAAGTTGGATCGTGTATTAGATTATAGAGACTGAAATGTAACATTTGCGGAGACACTACTTCCACGTCCCTGAGGTGTAGCATTGCGCCTTGGGCCGCTAAATATTCGGCATTCGCCATCTGTTCGGGTGTTGTTGTAATGGCCAACATTTTCACGTTATAATGTATGCCTTCGGTTAAGCTATTTTGGCTGCCGTGCGTTATGAAGGCCAACAAATCGGGATTCGACAACAATGCAGCCTGATCCAACCATGTTTGATAGTATATAAAGGGAGATGTTGGTGGTTCTATACAATATGCCCAACGCCACACTACAAACATACGATTTGTGGTGAAATAGTCGTACAAGATATTGGTCAATCCTGTCGGCACGTCCGAACAATTATAGCTCGAACCAAGATTGATATAAATAAAACCATTCTCTGCTGTATTTATATGCCTCAATAAATCTGGTAATAGATTTACTTTATAGTCTGATATGTGTATGCCACCAATCTCAACAATGGCCGGCACATTCGGACGTATGAGACTTTGGGAGAAGTGATGATTGGTGAAGATCAGGGCAATCTGTTTACGCGATTCTGCCAAAGTTTTTCCTGCACAAGAGAAATGTTTGCTGAAATGCAGAGATGATATAAAAAAAAAGTGAATAACTTCAGTTAAGAAAATTAAAAATTAAAATTTAAAAGAAAGCAACAAGAAAGAAACAAGCGAGAAAGAGTAGAGAAAGCGTCAAAGAGTGGAAGTAAAAAAAGTGAAAAATATGAAATTGAACTGAAAAGCAAGAGGGTAATATTGGATGAGTGCATAAGTTCGTGCCCGATTCCGCTGGATGCCGTTCGAATCGTTTGAGAGTGGCGCTCGTGAAAGAAATATATACATATTATATATCGTTGGAAAGGTGACAGTCCGAACGGTAAATCAAGCATAAAATAACTTCATTTTGATTTGAGTTGCTTAGTGAAATGACGCATGGAAGATGGACAACGAAAAAGATCATATGCGTCATATTATGTTATACGAATTCCGCAAAGGAAAAACAGTAGGCGCTGCAACTAAAGATATTCACGAAGTTTATTTGGACCGTGATCCAGCACTCCGCACAGTAAAGAAATGGTTCGCGAAATTTCGTTCTGGAGATTTTAACCTCGAAGATCAACCTCGCAGTGTACGGCCTTCTGAGCTTGATGACGATGTTCTAAGGACTTTAGTTGCGAATAACTCACGTATTTCGACGGAAGAGGTTGCCAGTGAATTGAACGTCAACAAATCAACTGCGTTTCGTCGTTTAAAATAGGTTGGGTACACTTTGAAGCTCGATACATGGGTGTCACATCAGTTGAGTGAAAAAAAAAAACAAAGTGGACCGTATGTCAACAGCAATTTCTTTGCTTCGACGGATCAAAAACGAACCTTTTTTGGATCGGCAGGTGACTGGTGATGAAAAATGGATCCTGTACAACAATGTTCAACGTAAAAGAACATGGAAACAGGCACACGAAGAGGCGGAACCGATGTCGAAAGGTGGATTGCATCCGATGAAGGTACTGCTGTGCATTTGGTGGGATTTTCGAGGCGTGATCTATTTTGAGCTCTTGCCAGCTGGAGAAACAATCACTGCCTACAAGTATTGTCAGCAATTGGTCGAATTGAAGAATGCAATTGATGAAAAACGTCCGATTTCGGCCAATCGCAAAGGAGTTCTTTTCCATCATGACAACGCCAGGCCACATGTTGCAAAACCGACCCTGGCCAAACTGAAGGAGATGAATTGGGAAATCATGCCGCATCCCCCATATTCACCCGACATTGCACCTTCTGATTATCATTTGTTTCGATCGCTGCAGAACAATTTGAATGGAAAAAAAATAAAAAATGTGGAAGACGTCAAAAACCACCTTGACACCTTTTTCAACAAGAAACCGCGCGATTTCTATGAATCAGGCATCCGTAAATTGGTTGAACGTTGGGAGTAGATTGCCGAACATGATGGCGAATACATAATTGATTAATAAAAGCGTTTTCTTCAAAAAATTTCAATTTTAGTTTGCCCTTGAAATCGGGCACGAACTTATGCACTCATCAATAAATGCCTCATAAACTTCAACGCTGAGCACGCACCCATAGATTATACCCTTCTCAGCTACGCATTTCTTGAGTTAGCGCCGAACGACGTTTGTATTTTGCTTAAAGTGTGCGGGGGTTGGTTAGACTTTAATATCGGAAGAATCACATCACGTATTTTTGCTAGTGATATATGAAATGAAAGGCATTTAAATATACTTTTTTATGTGCATACAACGTTACAAACAAATATCTCCTAAGTAAATTTATTTACTTATTTAAAAAAATTAGTTATCAAATCCGAGATTTTCCACGTGGAAACAGAAACAAATAAACGGCAGCATCCAGTACTTACATGTCATAACTTCCCATCATATCATAAAATATCTCATTCCAGTACAACGTCCACTCGACCAACGTATCGAGCAGCCAAAATTTATAACGTTCCCAAAATGGACTCATTATATTTTGACGATTCTGCAATGGTGATGGCATATAAGCTGACTCAGGCGGATTGCCCACCAATGAGTTGATCAGGAAATTCGGTCGTGTATCGAAGGACAATATAATGGGCACACCAAAGCAGCCAGCAAACTTCAAGTGCTGAATATTGCCGTAATACGCCAAGATGACCAAATCAAATGATTTCATTGGACTCTTCCATAAAAATGCATCCAAATGTCGTACATTCAATTTGATAAACTGTTGCCAACGTTGATATTCCGTTTGATATCGATGATAAGTTCTATTCGGTTCTAAATTATCATCACTTGTAAATGGTTTCAAACGTATATATTGGAACATCGCATCTTCATATCGGTGCGGTACTGGAAAGTTACCAATTACGGTCACTGTGAAGTAAATATTCGTCGAAAGCGCATTCGCGATGCTCATGTGATAGTTAAACGAATTGGGATTGTCTGTGGTGAAAATACATAAAATGTCTTTTGGTGTTCGCAGGTGCGTTGTTGTATGCTGGAAACCATGTGAAGAATGCAGCTGGCTCAGGGTGATCAGGAGCATGAAGAGTTGGAAGCCAAGCGTATAGCTCCTTATACTTGCCTTGCGGGCACTATTACACATTTTTGTTGAAGCGACCGAGGAAATATATATTCTTTTTCCACAGAAGATATTTAATTAAGTGAAAAATAGACACTCGAAACACTTTCAGAAATTTATTTGCTGCTTATTTACTCGGAACTAAGAAAAGAGATTATGCGTTAACTGAGCCCGCAGCGCTGAGATTTCTATTTACTAAACAGTTACCTTTTGGTTGACATTGACGTTACAGTTACAGCGAACACAATGCTTTGCAGGCTCAAAGAGTCTTCCGAATGCGCTGAGAAACTAGCTAAAGCGCATAGAGAACAAGTCGCTAAATTTACTCAGCTGAGCGAGTCGAATTTACTTCAGAAAAGTACTCCAGAATAACGTGAGAAAGGGCAACCCACTAATAAGTTATTGTGTGTTTGAAAGGAATATCATGAACAAGCCAAGAGGTAATATGTAGGAAGGCAGATATGAAGCGATGAGCTCCAAGACAGAATATAAGGCATAAAAGCAAGTGAAAGGAAAAAGAAAAAATGCAAGTAGGAATTGGAGAAACATCAGCAGGTAAGAAGTTAAAATATAAGGAGGAATAAGGGATATTCGAAAAGGTAAGTCATTCTGTAGAAACCAGAGGTGGAATATCAGAAAGTTCTCATTTAATTATGTTACTGTAGTATAAACGTTAAAGGAGGAAAGTATAGGTACACAGCGCAAGGTTAGATGTTCTAATTTGATTTGGAAGTAATTCTGAAGGAAAGAGCTTAAGAAAGGCGTGGTTTGAAAAGTAGAAATGGGAGTGAGTCTCAAAGAAGGCAGAGGTCAACTACTATAGGAAAGAAGTCGTGGCTTACTAAACAGAAAATAAAATAATCGTTAAGGAAATAGGTAAGATTAAAGTAAGACATCACTAGAATACAAGAATAAGTAATTCTAGTATAAGTCCTATATTCAGTTACACTTTAAACGCTGACCAACAGTGTATGGTAGTTAAATCTTACTGATTGGCCGAACTTCTCTTCCATTCAGTGGTGTAAGCCTCGATGTTTTTCCAGTATAGTACAATTTTTTTTTTAATTAGATTTGTCTTATTTTAGTTATTAGTCTGGCCTGGTTTCGAGCACACAACTGGACGTATAGAATCCCGAAAAATTCACATTACCGAACCCATTACTTTGGTAATACATTCGCACACTCTTAATTTATCTATTTCCTCTACTTTTTAAGGCTCGGCCACCTGTTTGCCTAAACGACGTATTTACCCACTTTCTCTACACATCAATTTTTCCATCACACTATTTCCGCTCTGCCTCTTTTGCTTCCCTCATATTCTTGCATACTTTCGCATTATTTCATAACTTACCAATAATACTTTTTGATTTCCGCTTCTTTTACTGGCAGCACGAAAAATTGATACCACAATATTTTCCAAATATTCGTATAAATATCCATATACTCCATTTGAGTTTGCATTATTGTCCAATACTCCGTCGGCACATAGCTCAACTCGTAGGGATTACCAACTAGCTGATGCAAATCTAATGTTGGTACTCTTGCGGTGGACAAAATAACTGGGCAATTGTATAATCTGGCGATTCCGATAGGAAAATCATTTACTTGATAACTCAATATTAGAAGATCAAAATCATCTGTTTTTGCATTTACGAACCATCGCCGCATTATCTTCTCTTCCAGCATCGCATCGCTAACCTCGAGGTGGTATCGCAGCACCGTCATGTGATTCCACAAGCTATTATAATCTTCTATTTCCAATTTCGGCAATGGCCTAACACTCTCATGAGGTAGTGGCACATACGTGAAGTGATATCTAGATTCGATTATCGGATTCGGTGCTGGAGCGATGACTGTCACATTATGTCCCATGCCGGCGAGCACATCCGCGATCCGACAGTGTATGAATAGTTGTGAGTCCAGTATTTCTGGAAAGAAGCCGAGTATATTGGCAGCTGTGTTGTATGTCGGCAAACAGCAGATGCATAAGAGCAAGACGAAGGCGGTGGGGTTGGCGTTAGAGTAAGGCGACGTCATTTTTTTGCGTCGACACTTTTGTAGGTTTTAGCGAGAACTGAATGTGCGATAAAAATCTGTATTGAGTCACGCTTACCAGGTTCTGAAAAAGAAGTAGAAGGTGGTGGAAAGAGAGAGAGAGAGAGAGAGGAAGAAAGAAAGAGAAAAAATAGGAGGTATGAAGATAATGGAAGAATTAGAGATAAATAGAGGAAGTGAAACTTTAGTTTTTAGTTTCTATGTTAGCTGAAAAGGATGTTATTAAGACAGAAAGTTCTAAAAAATGTATTTGATTTTTTTATAATTTAAAACAATTTTTTTATATATCCCATTTTCTTCAATTAATTTATTTTTATTTTATTTAGTTTATTTTTATTTTATTTCGTTTTTATTTTTTATTATTATATTTATTTTATTTAGTTTTTATTTTTTATTATTATTTTTATTTGATTTTATTTTTTTTTATTTTTTTTTTATTTTTAATTTTATTTAATTTTATTTATTTAATTTAATATTATTTTATTTTATGGTTTTTTCTATTCTAATTTAATTTAATTTTTTTATGCTATTTTAATAATAATATTTATTTTTTATTATGATATCAAAACAAAAGATTTGAGTTTTGTAAAAACTTATAAAATTTTTCGGAAACTATCGGCAACACATTAGCAGCCGGCAGCTGTCGCAGCAAAGCATGAAAAGCAATAAAAAATGTCATCAATCAACAGAGTAGCAGAATGTAACCTATGCAGGTTCACAGACACCTTAAGTGCCCAAAACGATGAAAGAGAGGTAAAGTAAAGTGACAAAAAAATAAGTTAGAAACGGAGCAACATCTCCGAAGGGCTTTAGAGAAAAGCGAGAAACCTTGAAAAAAACTGAGAGCCCAAAGAAAAAACACAAAACTGCTACTCCCGCTGCCGGCGCTGGTGCTGAAGTATCAGGTTGACTTCGTCATAGAAATTCAATTGCTTCAAGTACAAGCGAACAGTGGAAGCAGAAAGTTTAAGCGTGCAATAGGAGCGAAGGAAGAGTAAGAAAATCTAAGTAATGGACGATAACTTGACAACAACAAAGCGTTGAGTGGTCAACAGCTGTTAGACGAATGGCAATTTCGAAGTTCAACACCGGCTATGTGTATTCAAACATACAAACATAAGGATGTACATATTTATAACCAGAGATTTCACATTTTAAACAATACGAAGCGAATTTGGACCAATGTGAAAAATAATATTTTGTTAGTTTAATTTTTTATTTTCCTTTGTTTTATTCCATTCTGTGTTACCTAATTTTTATAAATATGTATATATACATATACTACATAATTTCTAATCATTTAAATTTATTAAATAAAATTAATTTAAAAAAATCAAAAAATAGTTATTTTACGTTTTAATTATTTCATTTTATAAATTTTATTTTAATTCATTATATTATACATATTTCATTTAAGTTTTAATCTGTTTCAAGTATTTTTAAATTATTTAAATATATATTTAATTTAATTTAATTTTATTTTTAATTTTTTATTAGTACATTTTTTGAATTTATTTTGATTTATTTATTTTAGTTTGGATGATTTAATTGAGTTCAATTTTTTATTTAATTTAATTTTGTTTTATTTTATTGTCCTTAATCTCATATTATCCGGTTTTAATTTATTTCATTTAGCTTTTTATTATTTAATTCAATTTAATTTTGTTCTATTTTAATTAATATTATTTTATATTATGTTATTGTAATTATTTTATTTTTTTCTGATTTCCTACTATTATATTTTAAATAATTTTATTTCATGTATTTTATTCCCTTTTTGAGTTTTAAAATTTTTTTTAAATTTCATTTTTTATATTTAATTTATTTTCTTTAATTCAATTTAATTTTCTTTTATTTTATTTCATTATATTTAATTATTTCAAATTGATTTAATTTATTTTGTTTATAAATTATCAAATTTTTATTATAAATTATTTTATTTCTATTTGTTTATTTACCTTTTTAATTTTAATATTTCAAAAAAAAAGAAAAAATTTATCAGGCAACAAAGCAGCTAAAAAACCGCAATCGAAGTGGAAATATGGTAAATAAAACATATAAATTTGTACATAAATATGTATGTGCATAACGGACATTTCTTGCCATTACCGTCGCCGCAGCGTAGTGAAAAGCAGCGAATCCTGTTTGTGCGCATATTTTTCCACATTTTATCAATCGCTTTGGCATTTCAATGTTGATTGTAAGAAAAGTGAAAATAAGTAAAAAAAAAAATATCGAACCACAAGCCACATTGAGCATATAGAAGACAAAGAAAAATAAGAAGAAGAAGAGGGGAAGGGGCATTGCAGCAGATGTTGCAGTGAAACTGGCGACTGTAGCAATTGATGTTTTACCGCTTTGAACATGACAAGTTGCTGCTGTTGTTGTTGTTGTTGCTGTGGTTGTGGTTGTGGTTGTTGTATTGCATGCCATAAAAAGTGGTATTGACCATATTCGAGCTGGGAGTGTAATGAAAAACAAAAACAATATTAAAATAATGAAAGACGAACTTGGGACTCACTCACTGCTGCTGTCGTCTATGTGACAATTCATGCTTTGCATGTAGATCACCGGTATGAGTATCTCTGGAAAGACTTTTTAAGGAATAGAGAGATATCCGAGTGGGAATAAAGTGCTGTATGAGATCTATGGAGGTGGGCAGGGAGTCTGACTCCATTTATGGCAACAGCAATGAGCGCCAGGCTCCGACGTGTTATATTCTAAAATTGTACCCGACTTCCGTTAAATACTCCGCAAGATGGCTAATCGAAGAGCTATGCCCACATGATTTCTTCTAGCTCAGCTTTCAGCTTTCTTGTGGATACTAAACTCCAAAAATTCATTCAAACTAAAAGCTTCAGCTTCAGCCTCAGTCTCAGCCACTTCAGCAGAAACTTGAAATGGTTCAAAAAACAATTTGATCTGACACCATTACTGCTGATGCGTGCGGCTGCAGACGCACCAAAAAAAAAAAAAAACAATAACTAACATATGAGTATTAAATAAGAAAACTTTCAATAGAAACACACGCACACACCTACCGCAGATCATAGCGCGCCTGGTCATTTGAAGTGAAATTGCGAAAGCAGTCGTAAATCTTAATAAAGTCACAGCAAGTGCCGTGAGCCAGCGATGTGTAGCAGCGCAAATGTGGCGCGTTCACGTCATTGAAGGCGAGCTGGGCATGCAGCGTTGTGACGAGGTGGCGAAGTGGCAAAGTGGTCACTAAAGCGAAACGAGTGGACATTTTACAAGAGTAAAACTTGTAACGTG